TAGCTAAGAGATGGAAGCAACCTAAGTGTCCCTCAACTGATGAGTGGTTAACAAAAATGTGCTGTATTTGCACAATGGAGTTCTATTCAGCAGTGAAGAAAGATGAAATAATGAAATTTGCAGGTAAATAGATGATACTAGAAACTGTTATACTAAGTGAAGTAACACAGACTCAGAAAAAATAAAATCGACATATGTTCTCCCTCATATGCGGATCCTAGAACCAAATCCTGATAAGTGAGTATGTATCCAGACATAACTACAGGAACCAGGATAATAGAAAGGAACCAGGGAGGTAAAGGAAAAGAATGAACCTGAAAGAGAAGAACAGTAGAAAACAGGTGTTAATAAGGGAGAAATGGATAAAAACTGGGTTAGTTTAAGGGAGGGGGAAGGGAAGGGTATACAAGGAACCTAGGGGATAAAGGGAAAGAAGGACCTCAAGAGAGGTAGGACCATAGGAGAAGGGTATTATTAAGGAAAAGGGGGGGAAAATGGGGACACCTTAAGTGGGAAAACCATCATTGAGGGGTTAGACAATGCGTGAGATAAATAATGTCTAGCTAGTTTTAAAAACCAGAGGGAATCATATTACTCCAACAACCTACTGACAAATTATACATACCAGATAAAGAAATACATGTCTAGGTAAAGCTTATCTGAGAACAGTTGGTCTTTGTCCAAGATTTATCTACATGGCACACAATAATTAAAAGTACCAGGCTGGTGGAACTTACCTTCTTGCATATTTAACGGACATACTCTGAGGCCTATACTAATTTGGACAGAGGGACATAAAGGACAGTTTTTGTTCCTTGCCCTCCTAGGTCGACTAGTTCCAGGGTTGATATGTCCTGTAGCTGTGATAAGTCACCTGTCCTCTTGTTCAGGGAGGTCATGGAGATCCCACCAGAGGTCCTCAAACCAGTTTCCAGTCTACAAAGAGGTGGGTCAACACAGAGGAATCATTTCCTCCATGCTTCCAAGCGAAGCCAGCCATGGTCGAGCAGCACCTTTGACTTATCTTCACATAGGCAGAACTGGTAAAAGAAAGGAACCAGGGTCTCCTCCCAAGCCCCTGTGACCCCTGAGGAACAGATCCTCAAATGACCTTAAGAGTAAAAATAAATTGGTTTATCTGGGCCAATTGTATGGCCTTAAACATGCAAAACAAAAGTATAACCAAAGATTAAAGGAGCCAATATAGTTTTTTAAGAGTCTCTATGTATAGCTAAAGGCTACATCACAAGCAACAATGCCAGATAGGAGATACCTTCTATTGAGTTGTTGGGCAGGGTGGCCCAAGGGACTCCCAGATAGTTACCCAGCATAGAACTTGGAAAATGAACAGTACACCCCAATCTTATCTAAAGGAATGTTGACAACTGATTGCTGCTAGATGACAAACATCTGACCTTCCTAAAACAAAGACCTCTAGACAGGCTGACTAGATTCACCAGATGGGCAAGTAGTCGGGAACGGCTGGGGGTGCCGACAACACAGCCGACAGTAGCAGCAATAACAGAGTATAAGGGCTCTAGTAGGGGGAGGGAGGCTATGGGAGGTTGCCATCTGAGAAATGGGTATATAGTTGAATAAGAAGGTTTGGGATGTTTTCTGTGTTATACACACACAAAAAAAAATCAACAAAAATTTTAAAATGTATTATATTTGAGGAGGAAGCATGGAAATTTACATCATGCTAATTAGTAGAGGTGATAAACATTATCACTGAAATCTACCTGATGACTTTATAGACATACACAGATGCCAAGGATCCAAGTGCTACCGATTATTACTAGTAATAATCAGATATATAGAGATTATAGATGCATGTGCCAACATCTCAGTGTGAGTAGCAGAAACAATGAGTCTTTCTGTATGAAACTGTATATTTTAATAATGAAATGGAGATCTTTTTTAAAGTTTAAAACCTCATTTAATTTTATGTCTTATAGGGTTTAGTTCAATATTATATAACTGTATTAATTCAACTGTGACCCTAGAAATTTTATAGCCACTTTTGAAGAAGCTGTATCTTTGCTCTGGAAACCGTTATTGAGCATATTAAAGCTGTAATGATATGCTTCTTCTAAAAAAATATTTTAAAAATGTAGGAAACATTTTAAAATGAAATGGAGATCTTTAAAGGGTAAAAACTCATTCAATTTTGTATCTTATAGGGTTTATACTGAGTCCAATATTGTATAACTAACTGTATTAATTCAACTGTGAACCTAAAAATTTACTGCCACTTTTGAAGGAGATATATGCTTGCTCTGTAGTATGTTACTGGATATGTTAAAGCTGTAATGAAGTGCTTCTTCTAATCATGTGGTTATTAAATTTTAAAAATTAAAAAAAATAATTCTTCAAAGCATAAAAATTTGCTCCTTAATAATTAGTAGATGTGAAGCACATTACCACTGAATTTTACCTGATGACTTTATATACATGCTCAGATGCCAAGGAGCTCAGAAAGTAACTGACTATGACTAGTAATAATCAGATACATAGGGATTAGAAATGCATGTGCAAACATCTTAGTGTTAATTGCATTTAAAATGAACTTTTCTGTATGAAACTGTGTGTTTTAATAATGAAATGGAGATCTTTTTTAAAGGTTAAAACCTCATTTAATTTTATGTCTTATAGGGTTTATTCTGAGTACAATATTGTATAACTTTATTAATTCTACTGTAAACCTAAAAATTTACAGCCAATTTTGAAAGAACTACATCTTAGCTCTGAAAATTGTTATTGAATATGTCAATGCTGTTGTAATGAAATGCTTCTTCTAATTATGTGGTTATTAAATAAATAATTAAAAAAAAAAAAACATAACCCTGAAAAAAAAAAAAAAACATTGGGCCTGGAGAGATGGTTAAGAGCACTGACTGCTCTTGCATAGGACCTGGGTTTGATTCCCAGCAGCTAACATGGCAGCTAACAACCGTCATTAATTCCAGTTCCAGGGGAATCTGGGGCCTTCTTCTGACTTCTGCAGACATTGCACCATCCGGGTGCACTTACACACATGCAGGCATAACACTCATACACATAAACAAAACAAAACAAAGAAAAAAACAACATTATAGCCAGGCGTGGTGGTGTACTCCTTCAGTCCCAGCACTGGGGAGGCAGAGGCAGGCGAATCTCTGTGAGTTCAAGGCCAGCCTGATTACATAGCGAGTTCAGGCCAGCTGGGGCTACAGGGAAACCCTGCCTCAAAAAGATA